CTTATCTTACCAGGTTCTAAAATTCTAAAACATTGTGATCCATTGAGCCCAGTTGCCTTATGGGAAATCCCATGAGAGATTAGTTTTCTAAAAGAGCCAATTGTTTGTTTTTCTATGTGGGGAATAGTGGTAAAAGCAGTAAAGACAGCAAATGTGTTGCTGTAACCAAAGGTCCCAGCATAATGGTCCTTCCATGGTCACGGCTGACAAGAGTGAGGTCAATCAGCAAGACGTTGTTAGTAAATAGAAGGTGAGAGACTGATAAAGACTCTGGACTCTTCTTGGTTGATAAGTCAGAGAGGTGAGAGTCAGTAACGTACACAATTATTAGATTCCTTTGTCATGATTGTCCTTCATTTTGGCCTATTTTCCCAAACCAAGGCCTTTCTATGTTATTATCTAAATAATACAGCTGTAATGCCTGCTGAATGGATTTCTCTCAGAGTTGTAGATGATGCAGTTTTATGTTTTTGAATCTTATAAAGCAGCAGTAAACTTTCTCCTTGCCTTCCCTGCCCCAAGCAAAATGTTACAGTAAGGTGAACATATCAGCTGAAAGTAGAAATGTTCTGACTAAAGTGTGTGTGTACATGTGTGTGCACACACACACATGCACATGCACACACACACACTCACACTCACACAGTGGCTGTCTGTTCTATGACTCCTTGAAACTGACTTTGAAAATCCCTTGCCCAGTAGATAAGGCATTGAGCTGAGAAATGGAAAACTTGATTTTCATTTTGCCATTGTCATTAACTTGTGAGACTTGGGTGAATCACTTAGCCCCTCTGAACCCCATTTTCTCATGTGTTACATGGAGACAGGGTTATTTTACCTCAAAGTTTTGCTCTGAGGATGACATGCCACTTAAATGCTGTGAAAGGGTAAAGAGTACAGGATGCTTGTTACTCTGAAGATGTTTCTCATGACACAACCTACACAAAGTAAGTGTGTTGTGCCCAAGATCGGCAGACTCGGCGAGCATAGCCTCCAAGAACCCAAAGACAGCCGATGCAAGCACAAAAGGGAGTTTATTACAGATTCGAGTCCGGGCTCATGGCACCTACCAACGCAGTGGCAGATATCAAGAGCCCCGAACAAAGGAAGCAGGGGTTTTTTATAGGGTTAAATCATGCTGGCAGTTACTCATTGGCTGCAAGGATGCGGGTTCTTCAACTTTGCCTGGCTATAATTCTAAGCTGACTGGCCTGGCCGAGATGCAGCTCCAATTACGGCAAGTTCACCCTCATTGGTAACTGGAGGGTGAGGGTGGAGTGAGGGTCGAAACTATCTCTGGAATGCAGTCGCCATTCCCAGGACAGCAAATCCTAAAGTTCTAAAATGGCAGTTACACACAAAATGACAAAGCAATGGCTAAGAATACTTATGCCTGATTCCACAAGTGTACTTGGGGACAGTGAATGCTCCAAATGGTGGTTGAAAAAATTTTGTTTTGAAGAATTACAGTGCTCCCTAAATACTAACTCATTTCATGCTATGAGCTTAGTATGGGCAATTCACAGATAAATAGATTATAATCCTTGACCTCAAACTCATATTTGTGTGGGAGGAAAACAGACAGAAGAACACTTCATAATCTTACAAGTACAAATGTAGAGTTATTTACAGATTTTATTGGAGAATCCACATCTGTCTGGATGTTGGGACAACAGGGACTTGACAGAAACTTGAGAAGTCTCCACAGAAGATATGATATCTGGTTAGAGTCTTGACAGATGAGTAGGGGGTACTTCAGGTCGGAGGGATCAGAGGAGGGCATTTAAAGGCAGGAAACAACATTGTGAAGGCACAGAGCATTAGACAGAATGAGTTGGTGGGTTCAGGGACCCCTGAGTGGATCAGCATTGCCAAATGTAGGGTGCATTTAGGGGAGCAAGGGAAGTGATGAGAGAAGAACGTGGAAGCACTGGTGAGAGACAGAAAATCTCTAGGTCAGTTTAAGGAATGTGGACTTTGCCCTTTAGACAATAGGGAACTGCCCAAGGGTCAAAGCAAAGAAGGGCCATGAATTGATTTGTGTTTTCGCTAGTGTGATGGTAGAGTGGAGGATAGGGAGTGACATTGGAGTCAAAAACTGAGCCAAGATGAGGTCAGGGAGGAGAGAGAGAAAAAGGGGGGACAAATTTCAGATATAATGGAAAGGTAGACTCCCCAGGGCTAAGTGATCAGTTTGAGCTGAGGGCTGTGAGAGCAGGAGTTGTCAAGGATGAAGCCCAGGTTTCTGGTCTAGGTGATTGAGCATGTGGAAGTGTCCCTCACCCCCACTGAGAACACTGGAGGGAGCGCTGGAGAAGTTTGAAGGAGATTAGGTGTTTGGCTCTAGACATTTTGAGTATGAGGTCCTTGTGGGGCATCCAGGTGAAATGTTCAACAGGGAATTGGACAATAGGGCTTTGGAGAGTCTGAAACGGTGCCAGGAATTTGGGACTCATTAGCATATTGGCTATCACAGCCATAGCAATAGCTAAGAACAGCCAGGTAGGAGGTGTACAATGAGGTGAAGTAAAAGCCACAGATGAAATCCTGGAGAATAACAATATCAAGAAGTAATGGCCAGAGACGCACGAGAAGGAGGTGGATGATGAAGGTCAAAGAAGAGAATTTCAATGGGGTGTGACATCTGGCATGGGGTTGCAGAGAAAGAAGGTAGTGTCAGGAGCATGGCGAAAGCGCAGGAATGATGGGGAAGAAGGCAGAAGATAGATTACAGTGTGTGAAGCAGTAAATGATAGAGGTGAGACTGTGGAAATGGCCAATAAGAACATCCTTTATAATAAACTTGGTGAAGGAGGGCAATGGATGAAGAGCTAGAGAGAAAATCAGGGTTGAAAGAAGGGTGATTTTTTTTATGTTTCATTTGAAAAGGGAGAGACTTTCTTTCTCCCACACCTTCCTCCTCATCCTCCTTCTCCTCCCTCCTCCTTCCTCCCTCCTCGATAAAAAAGCTGAGGCTCAGACAGATGAAGCAATTTGCCAACTTTGAAAACATGTTGTATACGAGTGGGAAGAGCTCAGTGGCAGTGGAGAGACCAAAAAATATATGAGAAGAAAGATATGATGATGTCGTGTGGTCATGTCATAGCTAATCTTTGTGGAGCACTTAGTATGTGCAGAGCACAAGTTAAGCACTTTACCTACGGTCTCGTTTAATTCCCACAACAGAGCTATGTGGTGGGCACCGTGGGCACCTTCACTTAACAGATGGGAAGATGGAATCACATAAAGTCTCAGTGATTTGCTGAAGGCGACACAGTTATTGTGTGCTGGATCTTTCAGAGCCTTCAAATGGCCCTTTAGAAGAGGAAACTGAGGGAAGTGAAGTCATTTGTCTAAGACCCCATATCTGAGTGTTGGAATTGTAATGCGAACCCAGGCTCCATCTGGTACCAAAGCTACACTCTTAATTGCTACTCTGTCATGAATGGAGCTATTAAAATAGAGAATGTGTGCATATTTTTCTGGATCCAGCTCTGCAAGGCAGAACATTCCCTGAATTTCAGCGATAGCAAGAATTGCCCTTATTCTGAGGCGTTGATAGGGCATGATGTTCTTCCTTGGCAATACGCCACACAGTCTAATGCAGCCAGGGTATTCGTGGAAAGCTTTTTGGTGAAAGCAGAGGCCGAGAAAAACAGAGCTACTTAGGTGGAGTGGCAGTAACTGAGTTCTCGTGTGACATTTTAAGGTGGTTTCAGAACAGCAACCATTCTTCATTCTTCCATGGAGAGGTTGCTCTGTGAACAAGGAAGCCCCTGACTGAGGTGTCCTTCCTTCTGGCCTGCAATTTGCTCACAAGATGTTCTGATGTCCCCTCAAGTTTTTAGACTCTCACTGTATCCCGGATGTGAAGTATCCGAACAAGGAATGTGAGCCTGGGAAGACAGGCCTAATTGCTGTCCCTCAGGGGTGACTGGCTTGCCCGACACTTGTACTGCCAATCCCCGCTGCTGCACTCGTCACTGCCCGAGTTTTTATTTTTCGTCATGGGTTGTGGAAATATAGCTTGATACTAGTCTTCATCTTTGACACATTATTACTGTTGAATCGGATCATTATCATTCTTTATTCAGTGATGCAATTTACAAGGTTTTGATATCTTCTTAAATTTAGTTCCCTTATAGCCAAGGACCAGCTTGTGTGTGTGTGTGTGTGTGTGTGTGTGTGCCCGTGTGTGAACTCTATCTGATTTTATAAGCTTCTTTTCAGGTCTGCTTTTCTGTGATCAATAAGTTAACACACAACGAGAAAATGGAAATGTGGTATGTACATGAATCACGTGAGAAGTCGTGCTTTCATTCTAAATATACGGACTGTGTAGTATGCTATACACCAGAAACTGTGTGGACTAAAACATTGAATAAGAAGCAGTCCCTGCCCTCAAAGAGCTTATTCTACACTTCCTCCATTGGGGAGCAGTAGGTTCCTAGCTCCTTGGCAGCTCCCATACTTGCCTGGTGTGTCTTTCATCAGCAGAGCAGCCTGCGGACACCTGCAGTCCCAACACAGTGAATTTGAATTTAAGATTTTGACAGCTGGAAATGACAAGATAATAATAATGACAACATGGATTATAGTAAATCAAGAGTGGAGAGAGGCAAGATGGGACACGTATAAAGATTTCCAGGAGGTGAACAAAGTTGGGATATTTGCATGGCTCAGTGAAAAGGGAAAATAACCAGAGTCATCTTAACATTTCAGTTAGCAGAGTGTCAGTTCTTTGGTGATCGGTGAGCAAGATGACTTACAGAAGAAAATGAAAGGAATAAATGGTATTCACTGTCAATCACATAGCTCTCTTTGACTTAACCATGAATACTGGAAGAGCAAGAGGTCCTGTTCATGGGTCGAAGGGAAAGAGGAAGACAGGACAGAGCAAACTGAGGGGCAGGTGGAGGAGCTGATAGCCTTAACAACAAATGAATTAAGCCCTTTCCCTGGAAAAATATGTATAAAATATTTAACTGACATTAAATATTAGCAATGAAAACACCCCCAAACACTTTATGTAGGAAGTTTTTTTTCCCTTTTAAAAAATACACTGTTTTAAAACTCAAAATCATTTCGTATGTGGGTCTCTGGAGAGGTGACTACTGTAAGAATGAGGGTAAGTAGAAGTGACCTCCAAGAGATTCTCTTATATGACCTTTTGCTAATTCACTGTGATGTGAAGAGTCCAAGTTTAAGAATTCCATGACCGACTGGATTGCTAGGTGTCAGTTGCTTTCAGTGAAAGCTAACATCTGCCACTCCCATTCCCACACCCCGAACCTCATACATGGCAGGAAAGGTGAAGAAAACCAAAGACATCTGCACCTGATCCTGACATTCTGTGTCTCCTGTCTCCCCTTGGGGCTCTGGTGGCGAGGAACAGTACCTTCCACCTGGCATTGCCTCTGAGTAGCTTTGTGAACTCCTTTGGGCTATTATGTTGGTTGGTACCTTGGTTTCTTTCGCTCCCAGCACCAGCTGATGCCCTGAGCTGAGTCCCAGTTGGGCAGGCTCTATTGCTCAGTGCTGTAGCTGTCTCCAGGGCATTGTTCTTGAGACTTCCAACAGGGCAGATTTGTGCAGTTGGCCCATCTGGACAAGATCTCTAACAAGCAGAGCTCTGTGCAATAAGCTCATCTCCATAGTCCACCCCCCGCTGCTACCCCCTCCTTCGGGCTGCAGCAGCCTGACACCCCAGCCCAGCCATGGAGAGTATCAAAGGGATGCTCTCTGCTCCTTTCAAAGGGGTATTGCTCATGTCCTCTCGTTGATTGGCACTACCTGGGCAGAAATGGGAGAACAGGGACTCTGCCCTCTCAGTTCAATCTCCTTCCTTAAGCCAGCCCCTTGGTTTTGAATTTCTTTGACATCAGAGTTAATATCGTCAATAAGAATTTCTGGTGTAACTACCCTGGTCAGCCCAGAATGCTCCCCTCAAAACCAAGAGACAGACAGGAGAAGCATCTCAGTGAACAGGAGAGAATAGACAAGCTCAATATGAAAAGGGGGAAAGAAAACTGAGCTCTTGGTTTGACCATAGGATTTGTTTTGGTCATTGGATTTATTGACTTTCAGTTAGGATCACCTTTTTGAAGAATGGAGAAAGGCAGGGGGAGGGAGTGAGGGAGGAGAGAGAGATTGAACCCACACAGTTAATTACTCTAGGTTCAGAGAAAAGAACAAAAGATTTAAAATAGCATCTGATCACCTCTGTCTTCCAGCTGTTAGCCCTGCACTAATTTAATCGTCCCATTTTCAGTTCCTCACAATTGGGTCACTTCAAAGGATTGGGCGTATCAGACCCATGCTTCCCCATGTCCCACTGGGGTGTCAGGCTTGAAATGGGCCACATCCTTTCTAGTCTGGCATTTCTGGCAGCTTCAACTAGTTGCAACCTCTCCTTACAAGAGAAGGGTTAAAAAACAACTCTAATTTCTAGTTGGCCAAGTCAATGTTTGTTCAGCACAGGGGCCCTCCCTATGCCTAGTTTCTCCCCAGGAACACCGTAGCCCACTTTTTCCTGGACAAGGATGTCTAGCACTATTATTTGATCGCCAAAAGGAGTTGAAGGAACAAGTTGGGAATGAAGAGTCCTGGGAAATAAAGAGATGGAAAAAAGGACACATGGAGGCCTAGCCAGCAGGAGACGCAGGGGCAGTTTCTATATGCTGTCCCTCCTGGGTCCTACTACTTTGGAGTTCACTTTCCTTGGATGTTTCTTAGCATTCCAGAGTAAGTTTCTTAAAGGGATAAGCATTTTCTCTTCTTTCATACTTCCTAGTAGCCAAACACACCCCCACTACTGTGCTATTTAGTTGGGGAATAAACCAAATATTTCTGAGAGCAGGAAGTTCAGGTGGAAGAGTTCAGGTGGAAGTTGTGGAAGAGTTATCTTTTTGAGCTTCCAAGATTTCTGGCCCCATTTTGACAGTGCTGTTTCCTGGCAGATTGAAGACCTCTCTGTTGTATCATACAGCGCCATCCTACCTACCTCAATTCAGCCCACGACTATTCCAATCTGGTTGAGAGGTGGGGAACCTGTCCCCATGCCTTCTTTCCACCATCAAGGAACCTGACTGGGCCACACAGGGCTCCCTTGTGGATAGGAAAGACTTCCTAGTTGAGCCTGCAGTAATAGGGACAGAGGACGCCACAAAGGCCACTGGCAGGGTGAGAAGTAGTGCAGATTAAGATGAGAAATGCAAGAATCTAGCAGCAGTGGCCTGAATATTCTCCACTGGAGAATTGGGGAATGGAGAAGCTCCAGCAAAGGAAGGTCATCCTGGCCCAGGAACATGGCCAGATCATATTCTCATGAGAAATGGGAGAGCATGGAGGAAATCTGGATTAGGGTAGATGAGCCATCTTTCTAAGTACAGCCACAATTGGTACCATGCACGGCCAATCCCAAAGCTGTGTGCCACCCCACACAGCTTTGGGATTGGCCATTGAAGTTCTGAGTGGGAGATCAGGAACTGCCCAAGCCCCTGATGGATTCTCATGGAGGGGAAAAGCCCACCCTGGAGGAAGCAGGAAACCAACAGCTTCTTGAGAGGGCCCCGTCACCCCCACTCTGTTCACAGTGCCTGGTGGATATCTTCTGATCGTAGCACTTTATAGACAACCCAATAGAAGATGTTGAAGATGAGGAAAGTGAAAGGGAAGACAGCCCGGGAAATGGTGTCAATCCTCTTGGCTCGGTCCACATAGAGTTTTCTCAATGTTTCTCCCTCCCTTAGAAGAGGGGCTGGTGGTTGGGGGCTGTAAATGCCAGAGCCTTCCATTGGACCCCCATCCCTTGCCTGAAGACAGTGGCCCAGGCCATAGCCACGGAAATAGAAGTGACTTTCTCGGATGACATCTTCCTCCTGGAATTACAAGGAAGAAAAGGCAGAATTTAAGGTCACAGCTTTAAGACAGAGAGAGAGGGGCCAGGCCATATGCAAATCTATCACAACACACAAATATGCACACAAGGCAGCTGGATACACACACCTACTACATGCTTTCTTATGGCCACAAAACTACTCATGAGAAATCTATGCTCAGCAGCTATATGTCATGTGTATGGTATATGTTATAAATCTATTTGTATATAGACCCTGAGTTGCCTTTTAGAAAAGCACAGCATCATTTAGAACTATGGAAAACCCACTGAAGTACCAACCTACTGTGAGAGGCACACCGCAATGTCAGGTTGTCACTGACTGGAAATAACAAGAATAAACACAACAATAAAACCTTTAGAAAGCATAGCTGTGATAGTTAGACTTGGTGAACTTGACTTAAAGACTTTCCAAAGCTGTAGAATTAATTCTCCTGTACATAGAGTCTTTTCAAAACTTGTTTATCTCTACTCAAAGCTGAAAATTCCAAAAGTTTTAAATACCCTAGTCCAAATGAGGGTAAAACTGATGTTGCAGATATGTTTACTTCTCTGTACAACAGCAGATTTCAACACAGGGGTCAGCAGATCTAGGATAATGTTTATTGCCCAACGCACATTCCACTAATGTACAAGATGAACACGTGAACAGGGAAAGGGTAAATTTTATATGAGCACTAAGGAATGCAGCAGACTACAGAAAGTTCATTTATCCAGTGGCCAACTGCCATACTTAGGTAGCTGTAACACAGCTGAGATTAGGATTAAGGACATAACCATAGATCGATCTATAGAAGTATGTACGTATGTATTGGTATCTATAATAGTATGTTACATATATGAGACATATCCTGTATATCTGATGTATAGGAGAGAGAACCAAAGTCCCTGAGTGGTCAATAGAGAGAGGCTTTAGGGCCTCCACTCAGAGCCTATTTCTCCTTAATTTATATACAACCCAAACACACCTAATTGTGTTTACTTCTAAGGATGCGCTGTCATCAGAAGTGATGGCTCATAGCCTGGATATTAGAGGACAGGTAAGTATACACCAGAATCTAGAAATACTTCCTTCAAAGATGGCTACGATTTTTCAAAGTACTGATGTTTATAGGAATAAAAACTTTTGGAGTTAAAGCTTCAGTGATCTAAGAACTTACATAAATGAAATGCCCCTTTGGGGGATCCTGCCAACTTTCATATCAGTTTGCCCCATACTGAGGGCTTACTGAGACTCTGGACTTGCAGTGCTAAAACTGGGGAATTTCAAGGCAAACTAGGAAGAGTTGGTCACCCTGAGGCAGTTACTACAAATTGTAAGAATAAGATATTTGTAAATTGAATGGATGCGACACAGATATACAGAAGATGTGGATAAGGTAGGTTTTTACACATGCTGTCCAGTTAGAACAACATCATAGGGTCTTTTCAACAGGACCTCTGCAGCTATGGTAACATTGAATAGAGGCCTCATGGAGGAGAGATTGGCAAGGTGGGCCTGATCACCCTTGGTTATTACATCATTAGAGGGTCTGGCCTGTCACTGGGAAACAGGGGCAGACAAGCCCAGACCGAGATTCACCGATAGGTCCTATCTCTTCCTCTGCTTTCTATGGGCTCCTAATACAATGGTAAAAGGCGTTGGCCTTGTTCACTGCTGTATCCCTAGTACTTAGCACAATGCATCTCATAGGCACTCACAGAGGTCAGTTGAATGAATGACTGGACTGATAAGCCCCTTGCTCCAGAATACAGCACAAGCAATGAGTTTTTGTTCTCTTGAAGCTAATGTCCTCCCAGGGTCGCAAATAGAAGAGTGGTCAGAAGAGACACTTACTGAAATTACAAAGTGCTCAACCAGAAAAATGACTACTCTCTGCCCCACCGCACATAATGGCCTGATGCCTGTTGGCTACTAGAAAGTGTGGTGCTTTTGGTATAGAAAGAATCCGAGGGCCTCCTGGTGGTGCAAGGGGTTAAGCTCAGCACTGTGAAGCTATCCGCAGCCTCTGCAGCACTGAGTTTGATTCCAGGACTGCCAGGGAGCTATCCACACGGTGCAGGAGACCACTTCTGTCTCCCCTGCACCCCTCAGCAGTATATTTCAGTCAGTCTGCCTATTCTGCTCCCCACTCTGTCTTGGGTAAATCCTCTCACCCCCTGCACCTCTGGCTTATACCCCAGCTCTTGTATGCATAAATAAATAAATCTTAAAAAAAAAAAAAGAATCTGAGTCTTGATTGTGTTGGTCTCTCTGGGGAGAGCTGCACATTTGTCACTATTGTGGTTGTGGTCCAACCCTGAGTTGTTGTCGTGGGGTGGCTTTAGTTCTATGCTCAAAGTTACTTACATAGCCTCAGCCACCAAAGGTCTTGCCTCATCCCATTTGTATTTCTAGTTAATTTTCATACCATCCCTACAAAGGGAGGTGGTGCTGGACCCATTTTAGAGAAGAACCAGAGGCAAACAAAATATCTCCAAAGTAATTGAAAATGACAGCATAAATAAAATAATTTCTTTCTTGCTTTCTAGTTCAAGGACTCTCAGAACCCCTGTTCCCTATTACTCATCCTGATCTCCTCAGTCCCCAGCTAAAGGATGCGTTCACAGAGTATAGTATGAAAATATGGCCAACAGAATAAGTTGCCCTTGGCTCTGTGCTTTTAACACAAAATAGCACTTGTAGTTGGGTGAACAAACCACACACTTGTAGTTGGGTGGCCTGAAATTCAAGGGTTGGGTCCTGGATTTGGATATTATCTATTTAGGCCAATTTATGAGGGTTGTGTGTGTGTGTGTGTGTGTATGTATGTATGTGCATGTATATGTATGTGTACATGTGTATATGTGTGCATGTGTGTTGGGAAGAAATTATAGAGACTTAAGTACCACCTTGTGGCTTTCAAGGCTATTGAAATAGAACATTTTCTTTGAATCTATCTATTGGCAAGGAGGGCTGGGGAGCTAGAATGGGACGGTATTCCAAAATCAAGCTGGGGAGTAAGGTGTGGAGATGAGAAAGAATGATAGCTATTAATATGTATGGAAGTGGAGAGACTGGAGAATGGGGGAGGTTGCCAGGGGATAGAGAGAAACAAGCAGGGTTCTGGGACCCTCAGAGGACTTGACAGTATCTTGAAATTTCTTGTGTTCCTCGAGTTACTCTATTTAATGGCAAGGCTTTCTCCCTGTCCAGCTTGGAAAAAAGTTGCCAATCAGACTGGGTTACGTATGGCTGTGTCCAGAGACACAGACCCTTCCCTGTGAAGCTTACAAACTAGCTGGGAAGACAAAGCAGAAGCATATGGGAAAAAAATAAACTGCTTTCGACAGGGATGTGGAAGGAGACCATTGCACAGTGGGGATGGGGGCAAGGGGGGAGGTCAGAGAGGAACAAGATTAAGCCTGGATCTGGGTGAACAGTTGGGAGACTCCTAGGATATTTCTAACTTGCTCTTGACTGGGAGGTCCCTGGTCATCACTTGGTTCCTCTCCTCTCCCCCAAGAGCGATCCTTTAAGACTGAAGACTTCTGCTGCTCTAGCTGGAACAGCAGGACCCAGAGCTTCTAGAAATGAACTGTCTCAACCTTTCCAGCTTGCTAGGTGACCTCCAGAGTTCCTGCTATGGTTCTACTGGGATGGCAATGGCTTTCAGAAACTCAAAAGGGAACATGATTCATGGCACAGGTTTGATTTTCAGGTTCTATTTACATTGATGATTATTTCAGTCTACTCTCAGGCAGGATCCAGGGGCTAAGCAGGGCCCAGTCTGCTGCTACCTGTGTAATACTTGAGCACTGGTGATGACAGACTCCATTATGAGGTCACGATCAACATGTATATAACCAGGAGGGAAGAGGCTGCTGGCGTTTGGGGGTTGGAGACATGCAGGGAAGGGGGTGGGACTGGTGTCAACCTGGTATAGCTTTACAGTAACTGCAGCAGTCTTCTGTTGCTGGAACATCCACACAGGCAACTTGGCTGGCAAAAGGACTCAACCTGGTTGACTGCCTGCTCTTGTTGCCCAAGGTAGGCACTGTTAAGGTGTCAAGATCAAGACCCTTATAAAGATAAGGTTTGAGTACCTGCAAGCAGGTTTGACACGGCTGAAGAGGGGGTGGGGAAGTTACCTTAGAAAGGGGTGTATCCTTTCTGCTTGCCCTTCTGCCACGTCTACATATTCCTTCTAACTTTCAGCACATGGTAAGAAAAGGCTTTCAGGTATTGAATGGATCCTCCACAAGGAGGTGCAGTTGTGGATCAGTCCACTAGAGGGCGGGTTTCCCAGGGCCCAAGTAAAGGACTAAAATCAGGCAAGAATTGAGAAATCCTTACAAAAATCTCTACATGAGACTGGAGCCCTGCCCTCAGCAGAAGGGGACCTGAGCTAGGACCATGAACTATTTTTGTTAAAGATTATGCATATAAGAGCTGGGGTACAGGCCAGAGATTCGGGGGGGTGAGAGGATTCACCAGAGACAGAGTGGGGAACAGAACAGACAGACTGACTGAAGTACACTGCTGAGGGGAACAGCGGGTGAGTCAGGAGAGGTCTGCTGTGCCATGTGGGTTTCTCCCTGGCCGACTGGGAATCGAACTCTTGCTGCAGAGGCTGCGGATTGCTTCATAGTGCGGTGCTTAATCTCTTGTGCCACCAGGGAGGCCCAGGGCCATGAACTATTGGAGGTAGTTTGTGAGATCCTTTTAGTGTAGCTATATGGGAGGGGTACCCCAGGAGCACCTGAGATGGGAATGGAGGTGATGGGAAGAGAGAAGAGTCTAAAGAGGCCCCAAGGGGCTAGAGCCGGAACTTTCAAGGTGGGCTCAAATCAGTTTTCTCTTCCCTTCCCTGCCCCCCACCCCCACCCCAGGCCATTATGCTCTCACCCCTTTGGCTTTAGAGCCTCTAAATTAGGCAGAAAACAGAGTCAGAGTTCAAGACAGACCAGAACTCTGTGCATCTGATGATTTAACAGCCAGTAAGTAGCTCAACAAAGGCATAATGGGCACTTGCTTCTGTGAGAGTGGACAAGCCACCTGTGTTGTCATGACAACGAACCTAGCACCTATTGTCTGGGCAACCAGGGATAAAGTGCCTCTGTTGTCATGACGACAAGGTTCCTAGTCTGTTTCTCCAGGTGATCACTCTACTGGAGAAGAAATGGGATTAATAAACAAGAGTGGGGAAGAACAAGCACTCACATTCAACAACTCTGATGTACCCAGTGAAGATCAAGAAGAACCCCAACAGCGAGAAGAGGCAAGCAGTGACCTTTTCAATGCCAACTTAGCTATGCTTTCATAAGGCTCCCCTAGAAAGGCATTAGTGCCTGACTCTTGAATTCTCACCACCAGTCAGTGTATGGCAACCTGGAGCACATTCCTCCAGGGTGGGGGGAGAGCCAGGAGTCACCATTACTCATTCTCAAAGCAATTTCATATTAACTTAGAGGATAAGAGTATGGTATGGTTAACATTTTTTCCCCAGCGCTTACTCTCTACGCGGCACTATGTCCGTGTTCTTAATCACTCTAGTAGGCCGCCCTCCAGGATTACTGTCCCATCAGACAGATAAAGAAGTGGAATCAAAGAAGTATTTAGCTTCTCTGGGACCAGCCTGGGACTAGAATCCATGGTTCCTGATTGCCTGGCTAGTCCTGGCTGCCCTAGATCTGTGAGAGGAGTAGCAGAGGGGAAGGAGTTCAAGGGGAAAGGAAGGGGCCCCTCCCTAGTTAAACTCACCATGCATTGGCGCTTCTGCCTTCGTCGGAGTCTCATGAATTCCTTATGCTGACGCGAGACAAAATTGACAGCAGCGTACTCCAGTAGGGCAGAGAACACGAAGAGCAGGCACACGGCCATCCAGATGTCGATTGCCTTCACGTAGGACACCTGCAACATTCAACATGGCAGTCGACCTTCTGGGATTCCTCTCATGGCCCAACCAGTGGATTGCCAGCCCGTACCGACTGCCTGCTATTTTTCAGTTTTATCCTGAAGTTTTTATGGTTTTTAAAGAAGCTGTCAACAATACGTCCCATTGTCTGAAGGCCTATGTGAAAGAGATCGGGCTACCCATCATCCTTTACCTCTCTGTGCTCACCACCCTCAACTTCTGTCTACCTTTCCTCCCTACACTTCGTTTTCTTGCTTTTTTAGTTCTCATTGAGATTCTGTTTCTGCTCCTGCTTCTTCATCTTCTGACTCTTTTCTTGCAATAAACAGCAATAAATATGCCTACGGCCTTTGTTTGCCCTCTGTTGTCTCCTGAGGTCTCCACAGCCATGGTGGTAACTGAGCCACATTCATTATTCCCACGAGAGACACGTGAGGACACTCGAGGCCTAGAGAGACCAAGTCTTAGCTAAGATCACCCAGTGAGATGGTGTCAGTGGAGCTGGGGGGTTTGGGCTTTTAATATGATGGCACTGCCATTTACCTAGGCGACAGTGTCAATATCAGACTCGGAGCTCCTTCCCTCCTCTATTCTCCCCTTGGCCCGGTGGCCTTCCCTGATGCTCGTCATGAGAGGACATGCTGTGTGGAACTCAGGTCAGTGGTGAGCTGGGGCCTCATCTCTCTCACTGGAGAGCAGCACCAGACAGGGGTCCCAAGGGAGCGCCACCCAGCTGTGATTACTGACTCCTCTCATTTAAAGGTACTGTGGGCACCTGCCTATCCAGACCCCTGTTGTCCTCTCACTACCTATCTTAACAAGCTTTAAGTACTTTTCTCCCATTTCTCCTGTGAAGGTTGAACACTCACCTGTATTGGAGCAAGGTTGTGGCTGGGCGGGGCCAAGAGGGGTAACAGAACTCAGGTTGATGAAGTCCTTCCACCTCCTCAACCAGATCGACTCCCTATGTAGTTTTGATCTGCTGAGCTCACCCTGGGGGCTCTCAGCTGGAGGATTTCTTTTAGCAGCCCCTGCTCTGTCGGAAGTGAGGGGGCTGCACACTCCAGGGAAGGAGCGGACCTCACTGGATAAACCTTTCACCTTGGTGGTTCTTAACCAGGGACGACTTTGGCCCCTGGCCCTCCTGCAGGGGTATTTGATCTCACAAGTTTGGGTAGTAGTGGTAGCTACTGGCATCTAGTGGGTAAAGACCAGGGACACTGCTAAACATTACACCATGCACAGGACACACCTTCCCCCACCCCACCCCCACATCAAAGAATTAACTGGGCCCAAATGATAATAAAGCTAAGGTTGAGAAACCCTGCTCTCTTAGAAACAGTCCACTTAGGTGGGTAGTGGTGGGTTGCTAGGTGATCCCAATTAAGTATCCCTTGGCGTATCCCTTTTGCCACCTACGAGGGCATTCTATTTCATCTCCGTGCTTGCTGTGCCCCTAGGGATGTTGAATAACTGCTCTGAAGATTGACAGTGAGGCAATGACAAGGGCGGTCCATCCAAAGAAAAGGACACTAAGTAGGAAGAAAGTCTTGTGAACCAGTATGTCAGCAATACATCTCAAATTGCTCTGAAGTCTGTCTATTCATTCGCTAACTTAACTGAAGGACTACACATCCTAAGTGGTCTCCCTGCACCTACTCTTGCCACAGAGACTGTTTTCTAAATAGGAGCCAGAGTTTGGTTTTCAAAATATAAATCACTCCCCTACTTAAAAACTGTCAGTAGTTCTTCCTTATGATATAGTCCATATTCCCTCAGCATGACAGCTCCCCCCGCCTGCCTCTTGAGCTTCATCTCACCTCTTGCAGTTGTTGACCCTGCCATGGTGAACTATTTTAGTAGTTTCCCAAGGAGAGTGCCTCTCTGTCGCCTTTATCTTGGCAACTTTTACTTAAACATTTATGGGAAGCCGTCCCTAAATCATCCCAGTCTGGGTGGATTGTCCCTGCTATATTACTCAAGTTACCTATCCTTAGCACCCATCAAATATACCTGGCCATTCCCTTCACTAGATGGTGAGCTCTTAGGTGGCAGGGACTGATTCGATTGTTTTCACTGCTCTATCCTCAGTGTGTAGCTGAGTGGCTCATAGTAATTATGTGAATGAATGGGTGGGTAGGTGGATGGATGGATAGATGGATGGGTGGGTGGATGGATGGATGGGTGGGTGGGTCGATGGATAAGCAATATATATTTCTCTGCTTGCTCTCTTGCCATATCTGCCCAAACAGCTGTAGGTCACTTAGATACAGGATCATGAGAATTGGGTCCCCTGTCCCTGCTGTAAGTTTAGGTCAATTTTGTCACTCTCCAGTAGAAACTTCCATTTAGCACTTCCATTCTGTTCTGAACCACCTGCAGTTGTATACAGGAGCCTGGCAAGAAAATGGCAATCAGTGCTTTTGGGAGCCCCCAGAAAGGCAAAGGAGTGGTTCCCTGGGAAAATGGGGAGTGGTCATCCCAGCTGAGTTCCCTTAAATATTGAGCCTCTGCTTCTCTTGTCCTGACTCTAGAATTCTACTGGCAGATGGGATTGGTGTGGGTATCACAAGTCCCTAGCTCAGCCCTCTTTCCTGGGCTCCCACAAAATCTAATGTTGTACAGACTCAAGAATAAGCAGAAGGTCCTGACTTACTCAATCCCTCACTCTGTGGGGCTATTTAGTTAGGGGTGCCTGCCAATGAGGCTCCAGAAAGATCATCAAAATCTATGAGAAGGTATCAGATCGTCCAAACAATGATCCAATAAAGTCCATTTTTTTTTCCAAATGAGGAAAATAATGATTCCTGGGAGCAGGACTGAGCTTTCAAACAGAAACAACTTATAAAGGAACTTCTCTTGGCAAGAATAAGGCATAAATTGCAACTACTTCCTTAGGAGGTGAAGCATCTCCTTCTTTCCATGGCAGTAGCAATGAACCAGGAGTCTAGGTCTGAGCTACTTTTCTGCCTCTGCTCTTCATAACAAAACCATCAGCACAGCGCAGCCATCACAGCCCATCCTGACCACATGGCCCTTGCTGCAGTCCTCAGCCTCTTCAGTATCACTGTCCATTTAGGAAACATTTATATGAAATAATTTTGACAACCACCTCTGGGACACATGATTTTAATTTGAACTTTGTCACTGTGTATCCCCAGAGGGTTTGGGACTACCTCGAAGATTCCCTGGTATCTCAAAAATAACTGGGAACATTTAGTTTTTTATACCCCAACACCTAATAAATTATAGCAATGTTTAACATTTATTGAGTGGTTATTATGTGCCAAACACTTCTCTGTGTTAATCGATTATCTCATTTACTTCCTTGAATAACAACAATAATAAGAATATTCTTATTCTCCTGTTACATACAAGGAGATTGAGAGGTTAAAGAATTTAACTAAGGCCAACATTAGTAAATGCTGAGGCTGGGAATTAAACTGAAATCTGTCTGACTTGAATGTACACTTAATCACTACTCTCCTCCTAGAGCAAATCTGTAAGTTCACGATGGATGTCTAGATTACCCCCTGTTTATATCCCCAGTAAATGTCCTCTTAGGAATAAGAACTGGAAGATGGGAAAACATAGGGCCTGGCTCCCATCAAACAGAGCAAGAAAGAATATGTTTCTTGTAAGATCCACAAGGAACTGTTGCTTTTGTTTCCAATTATTCTCCATGTCCTAGTACAGAGCCAGGTACATAGTAAATGCTCAGTAAGCATTTATTGAGGGGATGAATAGACTTACTCCCTGTAAAGACTGCAGTGACCTCTCTATTCCCAACAAGAATTCATGAGCTCAGTCCTATCAGCACAAATCTCTCTGCATAATCAAAATATCACCAGGTCCTAGACAATTGGAGTCCTCTGACTTTAATCATTATTTGTGGCTCAAATTTTTCTTACCCTAAAAGAATGGACATTGTCTCTGGAGCTCTTTGTAATAGTAGTTGATTTCTGACATTCTCGATGTAAATCTTTGTATTTCTTTGATTGTGTCTTGGGGGCATCACCTTGAGAAGGTGATTTAACTTTCTGGGCTGATTTCTCATCTGTACCATGAGCAAGTGAGGGGGGTGGGTGCTTCCTGCTCCTTAATGATCTTTTGAGCTTTTGGACATGCTAGTATTTTCTGATGAAAGTCAAATTAGGCAGGCGCTGTCTCATTTCACTCCCTGGGCAGACAGCCTCCGCCACTTTGGCTTCCACATTGTTCGCAATGTTATTAGCAGTATGTGGTGGGGGAGGGTCACCTGCTCTTGCTCACTGGCTCTTTTCTACCTTAGATCCTAGGGAAATTGTGAGTAGGAAGGACTGGGATGCATGGAAATGGGGGTGAATGGCAAGCCGTTTCCCTTGCAAGTCTCTTCACCTTAGGCAAAGAGGCTCGGGAACCAGAGCTCTGCGTTGTCATGGTGAGCACCGTGGTGATGCCGAGGCCCACACGGGCAGGGGCGGCATCCATGTTGATCCAGAAGGAGACCCAGGACAGGATGACGATGAGTAGACTGGGGATGTACATCTGGATCAGATAGTAGCCCATCTGTCGTTCTAGGTGAAACTTTACTTCGATGCAGGTGAATTTCCCTGCAAGGAAAGAGGTGAGGTATCAGGCCCCAGGTTCCCAGTCTGCAGCTGAAACTGAGAGGAGGACTAGGGCGGAGCCATCTCTGTGGGCCAGCAGCTCTGGGCACGTCAGCCGGGCCAATAAATGAGCCTTTCTAAATGGTCCCAAGAAACACCAGATGTAGGTATCGAAGAAGCCCCCTGAGCCACCATCAAGGACTTGACCTCTTGTTCTAGTACTTTAGCAGAGGGCCTTTCATGTGACAGCACAACAAAAGAATATATAAAATAAAAAAATATATAAAAATTACAAGGTAGGAAAAAAACAAAAAAAGAATTAAGAGGAGGAGGACTCCAAGCCAGAGTGCTTGGGATTGAATCCTGAACCTTCCACTTACTAGCTGTGTGACCTCAGGCAAAATGCCCAAGCTTTTTGCGCTTCGGTTTCCTTACCCAGAAAACGGAGTAATTACAATATCAGCTCCATCCTTGGCCTAAGGTAGGGACTAAATGAGAATGTGAGATGTGGAGCACATAGGTAGCTGGAACTATTATTATTATTAACAAAGCAATGAGTTTAGACTCCACTTAAACCTCAACATCTTCGCTTGGGTTTGCTGGTACCCCAGAAGCTTTCTGACAACAAGCATTCACTGAAATCAACACTGCCTGTGGCTTAAGCAAGTGAGAACAGTCGGATGGCGAACATCTGGAAACAAAGGGCAACGGAGAGCAGCTCTGGACGGCAGGCACCGTTCTCATAGAGCAGTCGGCAGTGGAAGTCTATTCCACCCACAAAAAGTGTGTTGGCCCTGGGCACATGTACCAATGCTCTGCCTCCCGTGCCAACCATCTTCACTTTACCCCACTTTCCATGCTCCAAGGCTAAGAAAACACTATCTTAGAGCTTTTCCCAGCAGCAGAGGCTTCAGGATAACCAAAGCCAAAAGTACTATTTTATCCTGGCCGAGCCTTGCTCTCATCAGGCCTTTCTGATTCCTCGAGGCTAGTCATTTCATCAATGACTGATTTTTGCCTTTGCCATGTAGTGAGAGGCTGTGATCTCCCACTGCTGCGAGTCCACCCCACCCCACCTCACCCTACTCCAAACTTCTCGCCACGACACGCCCTTGATAGGTGTCACTATTTTATTCCTTCCTTCCCTCCATCCTTCCTTTCCTCCCTCTCTCCTATCCTCCCTTCTGTCCTACCTCCTCCCTCCCTCCCTCCCTCCTTCTCTTTCTCCCTTGCTCTCTTCCTTCCTCCTTCTTTCCTCTGTTGTTGTTGTTGTTGTTTTTTTTTGGGGGGGGGGGCAGTATTTTCATTTTTAGTTTCAAAATTAGCACTTGTTTCGTGCAGGGAAAAAGTGAAAAGCAGAGAAGGAATGATAATATTCTTAAGCTCACATTTATCAAGCTCCTATTAAGTGCCCCTACTTTATGTAGTTTATCTCATTTAAATCCTACAGCAACTCTTTGGGGCAGGTAAATTATTGTTTCCTATTTTACAACTAGGCTCAAAGAGATGATGTTTCTCAAGGGTACCCAACTAGTAAATGGTACAGCCAGAAATCAAACTCAACTCTCACTCCAAAGTTCGTGCTCTTATCCATTGCATCACATTCTGTGCTGCCTTCTTTCAGGATTTTTAAACACACACTTCTGGTTTTTTGTTTTTTACCACAATATAACTATTCTGTATATATAACTTTGAAATTAGCCTTTTCCACATGTACCTCTTCATGTTGATATAAACACATTATAAGCATCCTTTTTAATGCCTGGGTAATATTCTACCAAATAGATGCACCATGTAATTTACTTAACTTCTGCCCTATTGGTGGTTATTTAGAACAGTTCTAAATTTTTGCTTGTATAAATGGTGAGCCAGGGAGCTGCTTGGGATCTAAAGTCAATATGACATTTTGAAATATTTCCTTATAATAAATTCAAGGAATAGAATTCCTAGATCAACAGATAGGGACAAAATTTCAGCTTCTAAACTAAACTTTCTCAAAGTATGCCCCCTGCACTACCTACATCAGAATCCTCAGGATATTTATTCAAAATGCAGATTTCTGGGGATCAATCCAAGCACAAGCAATCAGTATCTCTGAGCAGCAGAATCCCAGAATTAATACAACAGCCACCTCAGGGGAATACAAGCAAACCCAAGTTTGAAAACTGCTGACTTATACGCAAATTGCCAATTTCTATTCCCCAAAAGGTCATACCAATTTCCACACCCATAAGTATTTTCTAAATCCAATGGCCCATTCCTCTCCCCACTCCCTGCACCTCCATGTACACAAGCACACATATTCAGAGGGTGGCACGGGAAGCACAGCAGCACACCATCAGAGGCTCTCCCCTCTTCAGCCTGTGGCTTCTATTTTAGCATCACAGCTCTTGGCTGCCATATTGCCAGGGGACAGGAAGAACTAGTGGCTCTTAGGGAAGCTGCAGGGGGCGGGTGCTGGGGTTGGAAAAATAGCTTCTCAAGGCTTCCTGGCTCACTCCAACCTCCGAGTAAACAAACCAGTTCCTGAGATTGACCAGTAGTGCCAATCTGGCAGCCAGAGGGTAGCCTGTGGCCTATTTCTTCCCAGTTCAGTGCAGCTATTGACTACTCTCAGATCTAAATTCCTTGCCTTCCATGTGAAGTTGCCACTCCCCAACCCTAAAGGTGGAACATTCCTACAACGTACTGGCACAGGTTCATTTCCATTGCGACATGTAATGGGAACAAAAACATGCATTTTGAAGTTAGACTGGTGGATTTGAATTTTAAATCAGTCATTTACTAGCTGTATGACTAGGACAATTGATTTAACTTCTTTGAACCTCAGTTTCTCTTTCTGAAAAATGGGCCTGCTCATCACTACCGTAAGAAGACAGGCATCTTGGGCCTCCCCAATGGCGCAGAGGGTTGAGTGCAGCGCTGTGGAGCTGTTCGCAGCCTCTGCAGTGCTGGTTCGATCTTGGCTGGCCAGGGAGATACCCGCATGGCACAGAAGACCTCTCTTGTCTTGCCCGCTGCTCCCCTCAGCAGTGTGTTTTAGTCAGTCTGCCTGTTCTGTTCCCCACTCTCTGTCTCTGGTGAATCCTCTCACCCTCCCATGCCTCTGGCCTGTACCCCAGCTCTTGTATAAATAAATAAATCTTTTAAAAAAAATAAAGAAGATAAGGTACCTCAAGTCCTTAGTGCCACTTCCGGCAGACTGTACCTTCAATAAAGACTGATTTCCCTCCCTCCCTCCTGGAGACCCACCTGTGGCTCACAGCCATTAAAAATGCTGTTTTGTGGGGGGGGGGTTTTTGTTACCTGTGTTGTAGTGCTTGGTACAATAGCCTAGATCCTTCTCATCCCGCAAGATAAACTGAGGCAGAGTCAGTCCCTCAGCCACCTGAACAGCAGGAGCATCTTCTAGCCACTCAAACACGAGGTCATTCATGGTGTAGCCAACTGAAAGTGACAGAGATGGCAGAGGGCTGCAGAGTGTAGGTGTTGGATGGGGGGTAGGGAGAGGCTTGCAACTGGGAGAAAAGAACAGGTAAGGAGGAAGGCCTGGGTTTTAGGAACTTCATGCTCATTTGGAAGGGAAGCCTTTCTGAAGAGGGTACTTTGCCAATTGTCTCATGGGCCCATCTTAAGTGGGCAAATCAGAAAGATTCCAGACTCCACTCCTTACTTCTCAAGCTGCAGAAATCTCAAAGAGAAATTGTTCTGGCAGGCTAAGAAAGCAGGTCAAAAAGGTTGGAAAGATGTCAAGGAACCCAGCTGGGAACCTCCTGCCACATCTCAAGCCCAGGGGAGTAAGCATGTGTACCAACCACATGTCTTCAGCTGAGCCAGCCTCAGGACCGGGATTCTGCCACCTTACCCCGGGGCGGAGAGAGCTATTTATACCCTGTCAGTCATGCATGGAACAATGTGCGCACCACAGAGGCCTAGTCAGGGCCCTGAACTGGGGCAAACTGAAAGCTGACATCTAAATATGCTATGCTGCTCACAGATGCCTGGCAGCGCATGAGGCTCCTGCCACAGATGAGACCATCTTCACACATGTCAGGTAGAAACAGGAGCAGAACACAGGCGCTCACCAACTGCCAGTGTAGGATCTTGAGCCAGAGTTGCTGTGTGACTTGGGCCAAGTCACTTCCCCTTCTATAAAATGCCCCATCTACTATTCAGAGTTGGAGAGGGGAGAAGGGAATGTGAACCTGATCTCTCCTGATCTCACAGTCTCACCTTACTCAGGAGACAGCAAAGGCGTGGACACAGGCGGTGGCCCAGCCTTGTCGTTCTCTGACTCCTCCGCACTTGGGACAGCATCTTCAGGCTGCCCCTGCCATAGTGCGGCCCTTGTTCCATGTCGCCACGGGGCCCTGGCATTTACCTAGAACTGTCCTCTCCTTCCTCTCTACAATGTTGTGTATGTTCATATTATGATATTATGTCAACTCTGGCATATTTTATAGGCATCTGCAATATCTTAACTCGGGTGGAGTAAAGGTAGAATTATTTCAGGAACTGTGGAAAGAGAGCATATCCTTGAGCAGAGGAGGTGCCTTTCAGATCGCCCCCCACAGCCAGCGCAAGCACATCTGTATGTAAGGCTGGTGCCTTCCCATCCCCTGGACATGTGGAAGAATCAGCCAGCAGATAGTGTGCGGATGAAGAGCACAGTGGGTTGGATGTGATCAAGCCCTGGCTCCTCTCGGACTGGGTGTGCTTGGGGCGGTCCCTCTCCACTCTGGCTTGCCCTTTTCCGGTCTGGAATATCACGGGATGGGGTGAACTCGCGGGTCCCTATGCTCTACTCTGTGACCCCCTCAGGATACTTACAGCTCTCCAGCTGCATTGTGCACGTCTGGATGTCCATGGGGAAGTTCTTGAGGTCCATCGGGCAGGACAAAATGAGGGTCAGCCTGGCAGGGACAGTAAGAGAGACATGACGTTGGCTTAGGGGACCGGCACCACACAGGAGACCCTCCTTCCTCCTCTCAGCCTCTGTGTGGTTTCTTTCCCCCAGCCCCACCTCTCCTGGCCATTCGCCAAGTGCACCTGATGCTGTAGAGCACATTCCCATTCTTGAAGATGCGCAGTAACTTGTTGTCTGTGGTCACCTCATGGAAGTTGGCCCCTTTCTCATTGGCAAAGAACAGGTCTGGCTTCCAGATGGAGTCCAGCATGGAGGGGTCCAGGTCCAATGAATCATCGGGATATTCTCGGTAGGCCAGGCGGGGGTCATTCCACTGCTGTCGCAAGAAGACATTCACCCGGTAGTCCTGGGAGGGTGCAGAGATGGGCTGTCAGAGGCAGTGCCCAGCCAGGGCCCAGTAAGCCTCTACGGGCAGAAGCACCACGAGGAGAACATGCTGGGAATATTTCTCAGAGGCAGTGGGCCTTTTTCAATGGAGAAGGAGCCTGCCTGGGCCGATACGGCAAAGATGGAGCATATACGATGTGCCACGTCCACTCTTCTAAGTGCTTCATTTATATACATCATCTCACACCAACCCTGTGAAGCTCATACCCAGTTATGATCCCCATTTTACAGACAAGGAAACTGGGACAGAGACCGATTTAAGTCACCAGCCTAGGGTCACCCAACTGCTAGGTGCAATAGTCAGGACTGCAACCCAGGTTTGTCTGCTCCCAAAGTAGGTGCTCTGCATCAAACTACCTCCTGTGCTTAACCATTTGCTCCTTAGGTTATTCTGCCTTTAGTCACTGGAATGCTGCGCTGGGGAAACATGTATTTCCAGTGATCAACTTCAGGCTTTAGCCATGACCATGGTGCTGGAAGAGGACAGCAGAGGGAGGAAAGACTTGCTAGCAGGTAGGCTTCTCCCATCCACACTGCAGAGTGGCAGTGGAAAGCAGGGTGACTCCTTACCATGGTTGTCTCGGTGACAGAGCCAAAGCTGTTGATGAAGATGTTGCAGGTCACGTTCACGGGCGGGCCTAAGGGTAGCAAAGCACAGCCACATGGGCAGGGCCTTCCGGGAGACCGGGAGGGGGTTCCAGGACTCCCTCTCTCAGATGGAGGCCAGGGTACTGCTGGGAGAAGGTGTGCCAGTTATGCAGGTTCATAGGCAATTGGGAGGAGGGGAAGCCTTCTGAGCTGTGAGCTAACCCTGAAACTCCAGCCTCCTTTCCTATGGCAGGCAGTGGTGGCCGACTTGGTAGTGTATCCCCAAAAGGGATGGGGGAGGAGGAAGAGGTGTTTTGTAAGCTGAATGCTTCTTACCTTTAAAATTGGGCCGAATCCTGGCATCATATCCAGATGTTCTCCCCATAAGCTTGTCCAGGAAATCAGAAGGGGACATGGGCTGGGAACCCTTGGTCCCAGATTTGACTTCCTCTTTGGCCAAGGCCACCCTAGACAGGCAAGACAAAGAGGTCTGAGACCAGTTGTCATCTGCATTTATCACAGACCCTCACCTTCCCTGTCCCTACACACTGTCAAACAGGATGGGGCAAGATAGGTTTATGGGTACCTATTTGCAAAATGAGAACAAAAACAGCCACAAGTCAATGTGGCAGTTGAATAGGTCATCCTAGAAGAGCGCTTCTTACCCTCACAATTGTAATGTGATGGGGGTGAAGACTGTTATCCCCATTTTATAGATGAGAAAACTGAGGCTCCTAGGGGCCTCCCTGGTGGCCAGCGGGTTGAGCGCTGCTCTATGAAACTGTCTGCAGCCCCTGCAACATGGGTTTGATTCCCAGCTGGCCAGGGAGATACCCACGTGGCGCGGCAGACCTCTCCTGTCTCTCCCACTGCTCCCCTCAGCAGTATTTTCTGTCCATCTGCCTGTTCTGCCCCCCGCTCTGTCGCTGGTGAATTCTCTCACCCTCCTTCGCCTCTGGCCTGTACCCCAGTTCTTGTATAAATAAATAAATCTTAAAAAAAAAAAAAAAAAACCTGAGGTTTCCAAAGGTGAAGTGAAGTGCCCAGAGTCTCCAAGCTACCGAGTGGCAGGATCAGAACTCCAAGCCAAGACTGAGGCCTATGGCCTCCTTGCTGAGGCACTCAGGAGCTAGGACCCAGCCGGAAGGCTGGGCTTCTGGAGTTTGCTCCAACAGGAAACCCGGCTGCTGTTCGGGCTGCAGGCAGGTGAACACACTTTGGCAATAATAGGTGGGGGAGGTGGGCCCTAGGAGCATGGAGAAGCCTGGGGGGTGGGTGGCCAAGAAGACAAATTGCCGCCTTTACACCCTAGCAGCTTGATTTTGAAGAGGAGCCCCATGTGATTTGACCTAGCCTGGAGGCCAGCACCTCCTTGCCCCTGACAAGTTCCCCTCTAAGAGCAGTAAAGCCCCTTCTACATGCCTGCACACCTGCTCTTCAGCCTACAGATAGACTAGGGACCAGAAATCCTTGAGGGCAGGGGTAGGGTGCATGGGTTGGGCACAGTGCCCCCAGTTCAGGCTGGATTCCTGGCTGACCCTGTGCCTCCTGCTCCATCTCGCATCATCACTGTGCCAGGGGCTAGAGCTCGCTCACCTACTGCTATAGTTGCTGCTGCATCCTGGGGCTGGAAGGCAGAGCAGCTGCTGTCTTTCTGGATCCGGTGCTCCATGGGCAGTGGGCCCCCTATCCCCACTGATCAATAGAATAATAAATAGAGCTAAGCCCTCCCCCAAAAAAATAGCTAAAGCACCACGCTAGATGATTTTTTTTAACATTATCTAGTTTAGTTCTCATATCACCTCTCAGGTAAGGATTATTATTTCAGTCCCATTATACAGATGAGGAGAGTGAGGATCAGCAAGATGAGTGACTTGTTCAGGACCACACAGCTAGTAGATGCTAAAGCCAAGATTTGAACAGGAACTATAGATGTCAGAATAGGTCCATCTACCACGGCGCCCCAGGCAAGAAGCGTTGGGTGGCCTGCCAAGGAACCCAAGTGGGAGACGGTCAGTGGCAACTGCACACTGACCTCTGAGAGTCTGCCTCCTTGAAAACCCCCAGCAGGAGGAAGCGCTTACCTTGGCGCCAGAGGCTCCTTGGCCCCAAGGAAGGGTTCCCAGAGCAGGTGGCCTGAGCAGGCTCTGAAAATCCGAGGAGGCTGCTGTGATGCTGGAGCAAGCAGCAGTTGGATGTCCATGCTGTCTGGGTGCTGCTGCTGGCCTCTTGTCACCTGCCTGCTGGCAGGCTACGTGGCCCTGCCCACGCAACAGCCGGACCCCCACCACCATCCTCAGCCCCATTCTCGGGTCACTGCCCAGCTACCCCCAGTCCCAGGGGCCTGCGGCAGCCTTTGAGCTCAACTGTCTTGGCCCCCAAGCCCTGTTGCAGCCCCTCTCTTCCGGGGCCATCTTGTCTGTGGACCAAGAGCAGAGTCACGGTGTACAGCCACTTCTTCCCTTTCATTCCCGGGAAGGCCCCGGCATGGGCAGGCCTTGGGAGCATCCAGCGGAAAGTCCTGCTCATAGAGGCCCTAGAGAGGGGGTGGGGAAGAACTCTGATTCTGTACTGAGTGATCAAGGTCTCCAGGACTCAGCTGCACATGTTCCGTGAAGGACTTGAACTCCAGACTGCCTAAGGACCTGCTGGCTCCATCATCTCTGGCTTTCCAAGCCCCTGTGTGAAAGCTGCCACTGAAGCTTGGGTCTTGAGGCAGCTCCCCTCCAGTAGGGCAGGGGAGCCCTGCTGGATGCCCCCTTCTGCCTGAACTGTCCTAGCAACTCCTGCAGAGTTGCCGTTGCACATCCGCTGCTTTTCACTCTTTGGAAGCTCACCGCCCCATGCACAACCTCATGGCATGGCATCTCTGCCTGCCAGCCAGTGTGTCCACCAGCGGTGAGACAAGCACTCTCCCAGAGCTGCAGTCCTGGTGTGCTGCTTGAATTCAGAGGAGGAGGCGGTAGGCTGGTGCTCACCCCCTCCACCTTGGGAGGTGCTCTTCTTAGGACCAGCTCAGCTTAAGCCACAGCCATATTCCCTCCTTCGTTCACCCTGTCCATTTAGTCGGGCTCCTGGTCTAATGAGAAAGTGGAACTAGGTGTGGGGGGGGGAATTTACAGGGAGCCTAAAGCGGTATCTTGCACCCAAATCCACATTGCAGCCTTCCAGGTTCAGTGAGCAACCATGTGTGCACTGGTGACCACAGGGGGACCAGCTTTGGTCAGCTTGGCTCCATTCTGATGTGGCTTCCCAGGCATCCCTCTGCTACTTGAAGCTTCTTGGGCAGGTAGCTGGCAGATGTTGGTGTCATTGGCGGGGGGGATCTGAGCAGCATGTGGCCAAGCTGGTACTTGGGCTGGATGACAGAATGCATGGCCTCCTCTCCCCGACTCAGCTATCCAGTGCCTGCTTGGCCAGGAAGCTCCCATCCCCACAGAAGCCTCCCCACTAGCTCCAGGGATCCTTCATGACATCCCTTATGAAAGGCCTCAGGGCCCTGACTAGGGCAGGGCATGTCCTCCCCTGGAACCCTCCAGACTGCGGGCTTTTTGCAAACTTAGAAGAAACTGTGCCAGCCGCCCCTGCTGCCCCGCCAGTGTTGCATGCCCCTCCTTCCTGCCCCAACTCTGCTCACCTGAGGAGGACTTGACTTGGCAGGGTCCAGAGGAGGAGGAAGGAGAGGGTTGCAGGAAGGTGAGTTGTCATTCCGCGGGGACCCTGGTGCCTGTTCTCAGCCTGGCTGCCAAGGTGAGCCCGGATATCCGGCAGGACACCCCAAGTCCCCAGCCTACCTCCAACTTGGGCTGCCAGGAGCCCACAGGCCAGCTGGAAGTTGCCTCTCTGTCCTCTTCGGGTCTCTTCTCTGCCCTGTGTTCCAGTCAGGGGCCAGAACTCTTTCCCTAAAATGATCCTGACACAGATAACCCTACCCACTCCTGCTCCCACTCGCCTGGGGCTCCCGAGGGCCTCAGCTAGCCTGTGGGAGCTGGAGGAGATTCTCTTTGGGCAGCGATCACTCTCCAAACCCTGGAGAGTCCTGGAGGGGAGGGAGGAGGGAGACTGGTAGGGAGATGTTTCACTCCCTCCCACCTCCCCCCAGATGCACCCTCCGAAAGCAGCAATTTAAAGGCACAGCCGCTGGCAGCTGGAGTGGGGTTCAGAGCGGTCTGTGCTGTGTGCCGGGAGGAGCTTGGGCTGCCGCTGCAGCTGGGTGAGGGCCGAGGTGTGCGGTCCAGCTTCTAACTCTCTAACTGGAGGAGCGCAAGCCAGCTGCCCCCTCCCCCTTTTTAGCCTGGAGCCAAGACAGGCCCGAATTGTGAAGTCCTAATGATTTTTTTTAAGGGGGAAAAAGACCTGAGAGGGTTAGGTGGAGACACTGTATTCTCCAGCTGACAGCAGCAGGTCTGAGAGGAGGTCGGGAGGAGGCCAAGGGCAGAGGTGGCTTCCCCCAGCCCTCTGGATGCAGGCGGCACAGGGCACGGATGGCAGAGGATCTTCAGAGTCCTCTCCCTGCGTGGGCTGCCTGCCCCTCTCCCCTTCTCCCTGTAGATGCGCCCCCTTTCTCCGCCTGCTTCTCTCCCTCGCATCACCTCTGGCGAACGTGGCCGGCCTGCTGGAAGCCTGCTTTCCCAACACCCTTGCCCCAGCCCAGCTTGGGAAGGGCTAGCTTTCATTAGCAGCACAGGCAGTGCGGGCCTGGCGCACAGCAGGTTTTGCAAACTTCAGAGGCGTCTAGGGGGCCGGGAGGAGTGGCCTAGCAGTCTGACGCCCAGAGTGGAGGAGAGAGGCAGGAGAGTGGGCTGGCTTCCTCCTTCGCCTCGGCCCGTTTGCTTCCAGCACCCAGTGGTGTTAGCAGCTCCACTTCCCCTGCTGGACCCTCCCCCAAACTTCCCAGGCGCCCTTTAGACACAAGTGCCTCTCCCGCCCCCTCCCCCTCTCTTCCTGCCTCATTCCCTCCTTCCTTTATATTCGCCCGCCCTCGGTTTCCTCCCTTTCTCCCTGAGGCTTTCCCTCCTCTCTCCCCTGTCCATTTCAGTCTCACTCAGTTTCTCTTCTGTCTCCTCTTCTGAATCCGTCCCCTCCCACTTCTTTCCATTCTTTTCTCTCCATCCTTCTCAACCTCTCACTTCTCTCATCTCCTCATTCTCTCCTCCCAGATGACAACGGAGAGAAGCCTAGGGCTTCATTTCTTCTCAGTAGAAGCTCTCCTAGCAGCTCTGCTGAGTTCTGCGTGTGTCCTGGGGTGGGGTGGCGGTCCCAGAGCAGGGCAGCTCCCCAGCACAACCCCCAGAGAGGAGTTTGTGGGGCCCACACGCTTTTCTATGGACCCTTTGGGGACTGGGATTAACACAAGGGAGAGGATGCATCTCCATTTTGGCTGTTATTATTGAACAGAGGAATTTAAAAACCACAAACAAAAGGAAAAGATCACTTTTTTTTTTTCGGGTCAATGACAAGTGTATTTTATTATTTATTTATTTATATTTTTATATTCCCCATACAATTGCACCCCCCTTATTTTGACCCCAATCCCTCCTTTCCCCGCCCCCTCTACCCCCCATAGAGTGTCTCTGGTTGATAGTTGTTTGTTGATTTTGATATTTTCTTTCTTATAGTTATTCTTTTTCCTGGTCCCTTACTTAGGTTTTCTAGATTCCTGCTATGAGTGAGACCATCCGATATTTCTCTTTTTCTTTCTGGCTTATTTTGCTGAGCATGATCCCTTCCAGCTCCGTCCATGTTGCTGCAAATTGCATGTGTTAATCTTTTTTGAATGCTGAGTAATATTCCATGGTGTATATGTACCACATCTTCTTGATCCAGTCATCTATTTTTGGGCATTTGGGTTGTTTCCAAAGCTTAGCTATTGTAAACAGTGCTGCTATAAACATAGGGGTGCAGGTGTCCTTTGGCATTAATGTTTCTGTGTCCTTTGGGTAAATACCTAGGAGTGGAATTGCTGCATCATATGGAAGCTCTATCGAAAAGATCACTTTAAAGATTGCACACTATTGATGGGGGAGCAGGACTTTTAGAATTGGGACTGGAAGCATTGCAAGCCTCAAATAATGCTCACTTGACCAATGATAGAATATATATAAAAAATACTATTTATCCCAAAGATCTCCCCCACTGCTTTCCCCTGCTCACCCTGAGCATAAGCATCTGCCGAAAGCATCACAATCCCCAGACTGAGGGCAGGAACCAAGCTTTACAGAATATGTCTCAGGACAGATTTCTAACCTGGGGAGCTAAGAGGGTGGTGAACTGGTCCCCTCTGTTTAACTCATTCTCTCTGATAAACCTCGTGGTGTCAATTCCCTGGTCTCAGCTGTTCCCTATTGTTCTCCTGCTCTCAGGCTGAAGCTAAAGGCACCATAAAATGTAGCCAGTCCCACAGACACATGAAGAATCACCTGTCTCGCTAGCTTCCAGGTAGTTTCACGTGTTGTTCCTTCTACCAAACCACTTCTCCCCCCCAATTCCTTTTTTTAAGATTTATTTATTTTTGCATGCAAGAACTGGGTGCAGGCCAGAGGTGTGGGTGGGGGTGAGAGGATCCACCAGAGACAGAGCGGGCAACAGAACAGGCAGACTGATGAAATACACTGCTGAGGGGAGCAGCGGGTGAGAGAGGAGAGGTCTGCTGCGCCATGCGGGTAGCTCTCTGGCTGGCTGGGGATACAACTCATGCTTCAGTGGCTGTGGATAACTTCATAGGTTGTGTCTTAACCCCTTGCACCACCAGGGAGGCCCTCCTCCCCCCATTCTTACTCATCGTTCTGAGCTGTTTTGTTGTCACTTTCTCAAGGAAGACTTCTTCACCAGCCCCGCCCCCAGCCCTGCCCATCTCAGGTCTGGGTTAAGAACCTTCAGTGTATGCCCATAACATCCTCCCTTGCCCTCTCCACAGCCGCAGTCACCCTCCTTCCAGTTCCCTCTCTGCCCAGTTGTAGCTCTGCCCTGAGGCAGAGCTACAGCCTGACCCACCACAGGCAATTAGTGCTCAGTGTTTCAAAGAGATATCTTGGGCACCCAGAACGGCTTCACTAAGCCCAGGGTCTCTGCATTTTCTTGGTGGCGCAAGGGGTTAAGTACAGCACTGTGAAGCTATCTGCAGCCTCTGCAGCACGAGTTTGATCCTCTGCCTGGCCAGGGAACCACCCACATGGTGCAGCAGACCTCTCCTGTCTCACCCACTGCTCCCCTCAGCAGTGTATTTCGGTCATTCCACCTGTTCTGCTTCCCACTCTGACTCTGGTGAATCCTCTCACCACCCCCGCACCTCTGGCCTGTACCCCAGTTCTTGTATGCATAAATAAATATTTTTTTTTAAAGTCTACTAAAAAAAAAAACAAACAAGAATGATAAGTGTGGCCTGCGGACAGAGGGCTAGCATGTGGTAATGGTGATATGGAGAAATGAAGAAGCAGTTTTCATTCCCTTGCCCCTTGCAGACCTGTGGCCTCACACTCAGTCTTTGGCATTCTTGACTAGTGGAAGGCATAGGCCCCTGGGGACTCGCCCGTATCTGGGTCTCAGTCCTATGTTCCTCATGGGACCCCTGAATGCTGAGCGCATCGCAGGATGAGCTTGCTGGAGGGAAAGATCCTTTTGAGAAGTTGCAGCATTGTGCAAGTATCTGGCTGGCATGAAGAAGGAGTATGCCTTTCCTAGAGTGCTGGAAGCAGACTCTGAGAGAAGAAGGGAGGGAAGGGAGGCAAAGAACTGAGTGAGCCATTCCTAGGAATTGGCCTGGCAGGGGAGATGTTCATTGGAGAGTTCCCTGACGACAGGAAGTCACACTCTAAAGATGACCTCAGCATTTTCTGGTCTGGGAAAGGGACTCAGTTGTGTCTAGCCTTGCCCCATAACTTTCTTCTCTTCTTGTTTGCAGGCTATGGTGTATATGAGTCTCCATGGTCCAAAGTGTTTGCGCCATTTTCCTCTTTGGCAGCTGGCTGCCACATAGTCCAGGGAACTGGCTGTGTTGTGGCACTGAGGTTGTGGAGAGACATTAGGCAAAGAGTTTTTTAGGATGAAAGATATTATTTTGTTGTGAAAAGACTACTGAGCTTCTAAAAATGGATTAAGCACATTTTCATCAATGTTTCATTCCAGGAAAGAGTGTGTCACATTGCAGCCCTGTGCAAGGAAAATTGTCACTGCAGCCCGCCTCACAGGCAGGCTTCCTGAAGCCTTGGCCTGAGGGACGGACGGTGTGCTGGTATGGGGATGGGCATGAGTTCATGAATTCAATGACTTCTAAAGCTGAATTTTGGGGGCACACTTGGGGAAACTTCGTGGTCTGGAGTCCCCAGTATGGCCTATCACACATATTGAGGCAGCAATTGGTCTCAAAGGCAGCCTGTGTCCTCAAGCTGAGGAAATTAGCCACTTTCTGAAGCATCAGGGTAAGCAGTTGGAGGGGACAGTTGAAATAAAAGACAGATGCCTTTTTAAAAAATCTGCTGACAAGAACCAGGACATTTCAGTTGGATCTCCAAGGAGCAAGGCTGCCTCTTTTGCAGTGTATGAGTTTTCCTTTTCAGGGTCATTTTCAGCATCCAAGGATGTGACAGTTTACTTGAAATTGGGGGCTCCACTTCTGATGCTGAGGGAGCACTACTAGCAGAGCTGGGCAGTCCTTTCGGCTGCCCTTCTGTCTCACTCAAGAGCCTCATGTGTAGGTATGCTGGTAACCAGTGGTGGTTAGTCCCACAGTCCTCACCCAGATGGAGGAAGGAAGAAGAGCAAAATGGCAAATGTTTTACACATGTTCAGTGCTTTCATAAGACTTCTGGAGAGTGACTGGCTTAAGGCTAATGTTTCAAAGACCAGGCTTCCTTCTTTTTACGGACTATTTCAGGTGTAGGTTTTACAGAAAAAGTTGGGGGTCTCTGAGTTTGGAGGAAGCCAGTGGAGGGGTTAGCTGAGCTCCTCTGAGTCCTCAAAGGCTAACCTAGTATCAGCACCGGGGGTGGGGGGGGGCACTAGTGAGCAAGGGACCTGTCTCTGTTGCTGGGCTCTCTCTTTAGTGTCCAGAGGACAACAGAGATGTGGGGCTGCAACGAGGGAAGGTGTAGTGAATTGCCCCCAGGTATGCACCATGGCTCTTCACTGGACCCAGAATATTACTCATCCCATCAGCCACTTGAGAGCAGTTCACCAGGTGTGCAGGAGTTTCATTCAAGTTTCCAGTTTGCATGCAAGCTCCTTGTCTCGCGACACTCCTAACTTGGAAGTATTCCTTTTCTGGGATGATAACACCATGTCACAGGTCTCTGCAAAAGTAAATTGGTTTTTGCTTGTGACTGTGTTCATGAATATCTCCCACTCTTTTGGGGATTGTGATCATCCATGCCACGGAAGGTGTAAAGCCCTTACATAAAGGAGTACCAGAACTTGGAAACACGAATAAATACTTTACTGTGTGGCATGGATCATATTCCCACGAATACATGCATTCGATAAAATTGTTGTCTTCAAAATTTTCTTGATTTGCCATTTATCTACAAAAATATATGTTTGGGAGTGCAATTTCACATTCAACAAAATTTACTGAATGCAAATCATACGCCAGATGTTCTAGGTGCTTGAGATGTAACAGTGAACAAAGCAGACGTCATGCCCTCA